TTCAAAAACTGTCATACATTACTTTTGTGCTCAAACGAAGTATAAAACTAAAATTATATGCATGCATATTGAAAAATAGAAAAGCTTGATAAAACTAAAAAATTAAAAGCACGTTGAAGATAAAGGAATGAGAACATACCTTTTTCTCAACAAAAATATATGGTTGAACAACTTCCTTCGGTTAATTTCAATTGATCTTCCTTCAATCAATTGATCACTGATGTTTCGTCCTTAGATTATTTTAATAGATGGACGAGAGTCAGTGCACAAAGTAATATAATATTATAATGAGTACGACATTATTTGATGCAGAATCCACCATCAATTGCTAACTTACTATCATATGTTTAGAGCTTTTATTTTTTATTTTTTATTTATTTATTTTTTTTTGATAACCCAGGTGTCCCAGCTTAGCCGGACTAAATCCTGGACCTCTAGCCCCTAGCCCCTCAGTGACTAGTAGAGGTAAATCGCAGGTTGTGCCCTTGTTGGTTCCCAGGTTCCCACATGACTTTTACTCCTTCCCCAAAGGGACCCTCCTCCATGGTTATTATATGTTTAGAGCTTTTAAATTAGTAAGACGATGGATTATGCAATATATGAGTGGGACAATATTAAATATGTAACAGATCTTCTTAATCTAGACAAAAATCTTCACAAGATCTATATTTTCTTTGTTAAATCAATTTAATAAAGTCTTAATTACTGCAAAAACTAATTAGAGAAAACCCTAACTCAAATTCGTTTCAGAGAAGAGTAATGTTATTTATAGTCACTCACTGCGGTAATTGTCCTACGTGTCATCCTATATAGAGATTTTTTATAGTCGTTTACTGTGGTAGTCGTCTTACATGGCATCCTATATAACGATTTGTGATTTGATGTATTAATGTGATATTTTTTTCTTGTTTGATATATCAAATCACTTATCACTATATATATGTCATGTAGGATGATTGCGCTAGTAAGTGACTACAAATAACATTATTTTTTAGAGAGTGCACTCTTATGAAATTTGTACGATTTCACATCCAACAAAAGAAATTCATTTAAGGTGACTAAATAATTTCAATGGTGTAATGCACATGCAACACACATTAATATATATATACACACATGCAGTAAAAGAGCGACATGAAGTACTTTCACAAATTCAATAAGACATTCTTTGTTGATCCCAAATGCAATGCAAGATTGAGATTAATGACAATTATGAAATATTCAAGATTGCACTACGAAAATAAGATTAAAGTAAAGTAGAAAAGAGAAACTAAGCAGAGGAATGATGAAATTTATTAAAAGGACAATATGGAAAGAATAATACAGGACAGCGATAATGCTTCATCTAAAACTAACAAAGGAGTCTCTAATTTATAAGTCACGTCCATAAACTCAATGGAGTTCTAAAAGGTAAGAAAATATACTAGCATTAGGTTAAACTGCGTAAAAGGAAAAAATCTTGGATATATTTTGATTCTTTCCAAATTCAAGCCAAACGTGATCTTTCAAGATTTCAACCCAATTTTGAGGCATTAAACTTCATAATCTCCACCTTAATTCAAAATTTCTGTGCAACGAACGAAACTCCAAGATTTCAAATCCGTCTGCAACAAAATGAACTGACCAATCTCCTTAACACAATAAGTAAAATCTCTACAATCAAACCATCGTCCTCTGCATGGCGTCTACAAGCGACACCTGAACCCAAATCCTAAGTTTCCAAAATTTCACCAAAGAATTACTGTTGACCAAACAGGGTCGAAACACACCCTGTAGCAGAAAATGTACCACATTTTAGATCAGAAGGCCCCTTGCTAGAACTGTCACCTTCAATGTCCCCTAAAGCATTCCAGACATTATTGGCACCACCGTACCTACGCTCCATGAGTCCAACCCTAGCAACTGAATACAATGTATCTGCTGAAATTGGTGACAAAGCGAAATCACCTACGCTCTCCCTAGTAATGTTCTTAACCAAGTCAGAGCTTGCCACAAGAGGTCCTGTACCAATCTGAACTTCCACCATAATACTAAACTTGTCCAAATGTATCTTAACCGATTCTGTGTTCCCCTGCAAGATATACAACTGAGACTTCTTCCATCCCTCCAGTACAACCCGGACACCCCCTTCGGACCTTCAAGACTCCACTTTCACTAGAGAATTTATACCCTTTTGTATCTAAGGTAATCAGCGATATGAAATTCTTTGTCAAGTCTGGAACATGGCGAACTTAATCAAGTGTCCTCACTATCCCATCTTGTAGTCTGAATCTGACTCGATTGATTCATGCAACCCAACAAGATTGGTTGTTTCCCATGACAACTTCACCATGCTTCACCATCTCATATGCCTGAAACAAAACCCTATTGGGATACGAACATGCAGAATCCATAATCCACTCCCCAGGTTTGGATTCCCCATCAGATACAATCAACATTACATCTCCATCATCTGAAAAATTCTCAACAATGTTAGTCTCGTTACGTGATTGCCTCGCTTGATTTGCATGTAAATCACATTTACCTTGCAATTTGTTGGAATTTTCTTCATGCGTTCTTTCCTCTTGCAGTAATAACAATATACATTGCTGTACCTCACATTTGATCTACCCTCTGTCGATCACCATAAGTAACCAAAGCATCCCCACCCTTAGATGTAAGATCTCCAACCAACAGCTCCATCTTTTCCTTTGAGAACATGGCATCATATACCTCCTCAATGGTCAGCGTGTCACGACTATACAATATAGTATCACGAAATGACGAAAAAGAACTGGGTAGCGAACACAACGGGATCAAGACCAGATCCTCTTCATCATATTTTACCTCCAAAATCTCCAAATCTGCAACAATCTCTTTGAACATAGTAAGATGGTATTGCAGTGACCCTCCTTCAGCCTTATGATGGGAATACAACTTATGTTTTAGAGTCAGTTTGCTCGTCGGACTTTTTGTCATGCACAACTGCTTCAACTTGAGCCACAAAGCAGTCGTCGTCTTCTCTTTCAAGACATCCTATAGAATATTGTTGGATAAGTGAAGATGAATCTGCCCTAGAGCCTTTCGATCCCTCAGTTATTTCTCCTCCATAGACAAATTTGCTGGTATCCTCTCAAAATCCAGCAAAGCATCGTCAAGATCCATCTGCATCAACATAGCCCTCATCTTTACTTGTCACAGCGAAAATCTTGTATTGCGATCTAACAGCGAAATGTCATACTTCAACGAATTCATACTTGAAAAATCTCAACCAGATCACAAAGAACCTGCAACTTGTGCTCTGATACCACTTGTTGATCCCAAAGCCGATGCAAGATTGAGATTAATCACAATTATGAAATATTCAAGATCGTATCACGAAAACAAGATTAAAGTAAAGTAGAAAAAGAGAAACTAAGTAGAGGAACGATGAAATTTATTAAACCGACAATATAGAGAGAATAATACATGACAACAATAATGCTTCATATAAAACTGACAAAAAAGTCTCTAATTTATAGGCTACGTCCATAAACTTAATGGAGTTCTAAAAGATAAGAAAATATACTAGAATTAGGTTAAACCGCGTCAAAGGAAAATTTTTTGGATGTATTTTGATTCTTTTCAAATTCAAGTCAAACGTGATCTTCCAAAATTTCAACCCAATTTTGATGTATTAAACCTAACATTCTTATCATATCTTCCATCATTTATAATTAGGGTAAGTTTGCTTCTAATTGCGAGTAATGTAAAAGGACACTAAAAGTGTGATATTCAGTCCTATTCCTATCATTAAGACATTTTTACATGTCTCCCGTCATTTATAATCTTGATAAGTTATCTTTGACTTTTTAATAATAGAAAAGGCAGTTACAGAGTGATGTACATTCGTATGACTATCATTAAGATATTCTTAACATGTCTCCCCTCATTTATAATGACGATATTTCCTTTGAATCACTAACAATAATAAAATGTAGTAAAAGAGCGTCCTACTACTATTACTAAGACATTCTTATCATGTCTTCTCTCATTCATAATCTCGATAAGTTTACAATTAATTACTAATTATATAAAATAGCATTTTACATCTTACTATACTTTAGTGGATCATATCATGACATAGATAAGCTGATATTTGACAATTGTGAAAATACTTTTTCATCTTGAATTTCAAGAATTCTTCGCTATCTTTTCATCAATCTTAGTAGGATAAAATCTCCAATGTAATTTATACTTGAATGCTATATTTGAGTGCTACAAGGGTAAAAAAACAAATATCCTTTAATAGTAGAACATTTCATCGTTGTATATGTTTGATGGTTAAACTTCGATTAACCTATCGACAATGAAAGTCTTGACTAACAAATTTCTCCTTTATATTTCATCGGGGAATTAAAATCACACCTAAAAGGCAAAAAAAATTTATAAAATTTCATAAAAAACTAAAAAATTAACTCACTTGAAATTCCAAAAAAAAAAAAAAAAAAAAAAAGGGTTAGATAACAGAACATATTAAAATTTTTTTTAAAAATTAACAATTTTTTTAGACAATAAACACAATCCAAACCCCTAATCCCCAATATTTAGACCACCAGTTTTAAGTCTCCATTTGCAGAATTCCATTGGACTGTCTATCTCTGTATCTCTCATTTTCTCTCTCTAAATTTAATTTTGTACAGCTAAACCATGAATGGTGGCTCCTCCAATTCGGCCGGTGGTGGTGGTGGTGGTGGTGGTGGTGATGGAGCATCCAAATTGCTTGCTGACCTCCCCTCTCGCGGCCTCTTGTCCGCCAATGTAGTTTCATCAAACCTGGTACATCTCAATCCCCTAAAACCTAATTGTATTTTTTAAATCTTTGACATATTTAAGGATGTTGATTCTATTTTTTGGTTGGATTTTGGAATTGAAGACTTAAGGACAGTGCTTTTTTTATGCGAATGGGAAATGAATTTTGCTAATCAAATGGAGTTATTTGGAATTAACATTTTTAGGCAAGAAATGATAAGAATAAATGGAATTATCTGATGATGTAGAAGGATGGGATTGATAAGTGCTGTTTGCTTTGGAAGATTAAGTTTTCAATAAAGCCACGAGTTTAGGAAAATTTTAACGGAACTCTTGACGTGGCAAAATATGATAGGACTATTTTTTTTCTTTTTTCTCATCTTCCAATGATATCTTGACATATGTTGTCTGCAAATTTTTATGTCAAAATATTCCGTGCCTGTATCAGTGTTCTTAAGTTTTTGTAAGCACGTTTTAATTCACTTGGTTTGGTAACTTCCTTTTATGTGGCAACAATTGAATGGTCATCAGACAGTTCCGGGAAACTGTTGGGATTTTTCACCCAACGTGCGGTTTCAATCACCAATACTCAACCATAGCAGGAATAAAAACTATGCAGAAAATTAAAGGACGCACAAATTGTTCACCCAGTTTGGCCAAGCCTAATCTGGGGGGTTCAGAGGCAAAACAACCCAAGCCCGTCACTATGCAAAGAACCTCCCAAGAGAGAACACGAGATCGTTTTAGAAGATTCATATTTACACCAAGAAAATCAGATCATCGACTTTACAAATAGCCTCACAATATTGGCCATAATCGACCCTGACCTGGACTCTAATGTAGTATCAATTTACAGTGTAAAAATCTGACCAAACAGACCAAAGAACCCGCTGCCAGAAAAGACAAAATACCAGTCAGCTACCAGTAAAATAAACACCAGATCACCGGCTCAGAGCACTGGCCTTACTACTGAAAATATGGCCGAAAAGTATATATAATCAGATATGAAATTTCCTTCGCCAAAGAGAGAGAAGAGAGAAATTTGCCATTTTTTGGAAGAAAAATGAAGGGAAAATGAAAATCATATTCCTCTCTCTCCTTCCATCCATATCAATTAAATGATAGAAAAGTTTAAACTAATCTCAACCCTCCATTTTGATTAATGGTCCATGATTTTTTCAAACAAATACACATCCTTGTGAAATGTAAGTTGCCATGTAGCCAACAAATGGAGAAAACATTTTTTGTCATTTGTAAAAAATGTGATTAATGGGTTTTGAAAATATTTTACAATCTTCACCTTGTTTTCACAAATCCCTAGCTCTCTCTAGTTGCTACAATGCATGTGCCGGTTATGTTTTTGCCCTACATCATCGCCCTTAGTACCTGCAAAAGAAATTAACCTGTATCAATACGTAGTAAAGATAAACAAGCCTTAAATTTACCTACATTTAGAATTTTGGTTCCCATATTAGATGGGTTCATGTCGGTGTGAATTTTTTCAAGTATGAAATGGTACTTCACCTCAATGTGTTTAGATCTCTCATGATAAATTGGATTTTTACATAAAAGTAAAGCAC